GAGAGGGAGAGAGAGAGAGAGAGAAACATCAATGATGAGAGAGAATCATGGATCCATTGCCTCCTGCATGCCCCACATTGGGGATCGAGCCCAGAACCTGGACAAGTGGCCTGACTCGGAATCGAACTGTGGTCTCCTGGTTCCTAGGTCGACGCTCAGCCACGGAGCCACGCGGCCGCGCTTTGTGGTAAGCCATGTGAATCGACATTTTATAAGGAAAGCCGTGAGCACGGGGAGGACTGGCCCAGCAGAGTGAGGCTGTTCGCAGGTTTTCTCCAGGAGGGACTGACCCAGCTGTGGCCGCCGATGCCACCGGAAGCAGAAGCCAGGTACATGCCCTTGACCGGAATCGAACCTGGGACCGTTCAGTCCCCAGGCCGACGCTCTATCCACTGAGCCAAACCGGTTTCGGCTAAAATAGATTTTTATTGATTTCAGAGAGGAAGAGAGAGAGAGAGAGAGAAACATCAATGATGAGAGAGAATCATTGATTGGCTGCCTCCTGCACGCCCCCTACTGGGGATCGAGCCCTCAACCTGGGCATGTGCCCTGACCTGGAATCAAACCCTGACCTCCTGGTTCATAGGTCGACACTGAGCCACACCGGCCGGGCTTATTTAAATATTTAGAAACTAAAGTAATATATATGTTCTGTGAAATGTCAGAAAGGGCATCTCGTCCAAAAATTATTATAGAATTAGGTAATAATAGTTTCAAATACTAGTAGTGGGGGGAAATGTCATAGACACGTAGCTGACCTCACCGTGTGAGGAAACTGCAGCTGAGACCTGAGGCGGTGACCGGAGGGCTGCTTTAGCGACCGAAAGGGGTGGGGTGTCCGTCTGTGACCTGTGCTCCACTCATGAGAAGCCTTCGCTCTGCACCGGACGCTGGAAGAACAAACACATTTATGTTTTACATTAAGATGCTTGTGTGTGCTCCTATAGCCCAACCCCAGGTTACATGCATGTTCACCACTGAGTGAATATCGCGCTGTCCACTTATGTCACCTCGGGTTTCTAAGATGTCCTCTTTTTACCAACCAGCGTCTAAAAAGACAGAAAAGCCACTCTTGGAATTGTGTTTAATTAAGAAAACAGTCACAGTGTTGCCTTTGGTCCATTTAAAACCTTCAATCCCTGCCTTTCCAATTTTTCGCTTGGTGCCCCGGACCTCGGCTTGGTCAGCTGTGAAATAGACAGGATCACACGTCCAACCCCAGAAATGCGAGGCCAGGATTAAGTGAGATGATTTCCTGGAGCACTTGGTGCCGTGTCTGGGACGTGGAGCCCATGTCTCCAGATCCATTTATTTCCTCCGTACTTCCCAGGACTCACCCACCAGCCCCCCCATTTACAGCCCCCAGGTCACCCCTGGGAACAGTAGCACTCAGCCCAGAAAGGGGTGGAGAACGCAGGCAGCTGGGCCAGCCATCTGCTGGTAGGCCTGCCCGGACCTTCCTCTACCAGCTGGCGGGGCGCCGGGAGTCGGGCCTCAGCAGCGGCCGGCTCTGCGCTCGGCCATCCCCGGAGCCGATGGGGTCTGCGCTCGGCGGTCCCCGGGAGCCGATGGGGGCTGTACACGATGGGGCCACGCATGACGGGCCCTCCTGGGCGAGGGAAGACGGCCCGCGCTGCTGACTGCCTGGGCCACACTCGGCCTTGGTGTCCATTTACAGAAGCAAATGCTCCTCTTTGCACCTGGCCTTGCCTCCTGCTGGAAGTCTTGCTCTTGTTCTGAAGCGCGTGGGGAGTGTTCACGCTAACGGGTGGTCACGTGACCCCGCTACATCGATGGTCCAGAACCCTTTGGTGCAGAAAAGGAATTCTACCCACAAAGATAGTTAATTTTCTAGCAGCAGCAGAACCTCAAAACCACGTGTCCCCGATGGAACTGAGTCGTAAGTAATGGGGACACACAGTGATTAGAAGCATTTATGGGGTGTGCACTGTGCCAGGAACCCAGACCGTGCCATGGACACGATGACCGATGACGTGCGCGCCTACCTTTTTGTAATTTTAAATTGTTATTCATTTGCCTTATTGTTCAGGGCTGATGGGACATATGGAGATATTCAGAATTGCATGGCTTTTTTGGTGGTTGTTTTTTTAAAAATATATTTTTATTGATTTCAGAGAGGAAGGGAAAAGGAGAGATAGAAACATCAATGATGAGCGAGAATCATTGATTGGCTGCCTCCTGCACATCCCCTACTGGGCATGTGCCCACAACCTGAACGGAAATCGAACCGGGACCTCCTGGCTCACAGTTCGATACTCTACTGAGCCACGCTGGCCGGGCCAGCTTTGCACGTTTTAACTAGGATGTTATGCTGCAGTGCACGCTGGGAATATAGTGGAATCCCCAAACCTGAGCGCAGCTGGTGACCACCGTATACTTGGGGCCTACCCCGTTCGTGTCACTCCTCGCGGCCACCACTTCCACGCCGGAGGGAACAGCCCCGGTGACCCCACAGAACCTGTGTGGCCGCCAAGCTCATCGCCACGGCACCTGTGACCACACCGTGCCCTGAAGGCGGAGTGACCTGCCCAGCGGCAGGGTGAGGGCGGAGCCCACGTGTCCTGCCCTCCCCGTGGCGAGTCTCCCACAGATCCCTGCTTCCCGGAGGAGAGCAGTCCTCACGGGTCCGAAAGTGCGCGGCCGTCAGCTTTCCAGCAGAAGTTCCAGGAAGGATGCTGGATCTGGGAACTGAGGGAGGCAGGTGCGGGAGTCAGCCATGGTGGCCAGCATCCGGCGATGCTGACGGTGCCCAGGGTGGGGCTGGGAGGATGAGTCTTGTAGCAGCGACCGAGTTTTTGGTGGTTCCTGGCTGGAGGCTGAGCTCCCAGCACCTGTCGGGCAGCTGCCCGGGACATGCACAAACATCCCTGTCTGCTCCTTAGGCACCGCCGGCCTGCTTACCACCCGAGTCAGGGATGCCCGTGTGGCATGAGTCATTCCTTACAGGGTTGACTACGTGGCTTGTGCGCTCGAATCGTCCACCCACACCATGGCCATCGCCTGCCAAGCACACCCCTCCCATCCGCTTCCTGTGAGCTCGGACAGAACGTTCCGCACAGACTCTCCGATGCCATCTGGGCTCTCACGGCAGCGGACACCCGTGTACCCCTGACCTCCTGGCCCCTGGGATCCGGACCTGAGATAGGGGTCGGTTCCGGCACGGGTCCCAGCCTGGCACAGGGGTCACGAGTTTCGACAGCCATGGACTCCGGTCTGAGAGGTGTTTCCACCAGAAAGAGAATGGTTTAACTAAGACACTGGTTACCTTCATGCCCTGAGTATGATAACTGATGATTTTATCACATTGTCAGGGTTCGGAATCTACGGCTCCCTTCACGCTTAGAAAAGGCCTGTATCATTCACAAAACTGGAATCAGCGAACGTCAGTAAGGGCTGTAATGAGGCCACACTTAGAAGCAGCATTTGTGTAAAATGACTAACATGTGCAGGATGCCTGCTTCAGCCTTTAAACCTGCCCTGGGGGGAAAGGCCGGGCCCTGGGCGCTGTCCCCACCGGGACTTTCTTTGAAACACTCCCACCTAGTGGATGAGCCTTTTAATTACACCTTTTAAGAAAACAGTACAACTAGGACAGTGATGGCGAACCTTTTGAGTTCCGCATGTCAGCATTTTGAAAAACCCTAACTTAACTCTGGTGCCGTGTCGCATATAGAAATTTTTTGATATTTGCAACCATAGTAAAACAAAGACTTATATTTTTGATATTTATTTTATATATTTAAATGCCATTTAACAAAGAAAAATCAACCCAAAAAATGAGTTCGCGTGTCACCTCTGACACGCGTGTCATAGGTTCGCCATCACTGAACTATGAGATGCCTCCAAGGTTTAACTCCATCAAAGAGGCATGTTTTGGGTGTTTTTAAATCCATTTTAACACACAGTCGACTCTTATTCTCTACACAGGAACTTAATGTTATAATGCGAACATGTCTCCCCCAGAATTATGCTTCCGTTCCCGAAACGTGGACTTTGAGACAGAGAAGAGAGGCCTGTAGGAAGTCAAATATACAAGCCTCAGATCTGAGAGGGATCCCGGGCTCAGATCTCTGGAGACGCCCTGTGTGCGAGTGACAATCAGGCCTCGGATGGGTGAGACAGTGAGGAAGACAGACGGTTACGACAGGACTTAGACCGAGTCTGCAGGGAGCTGCAGGCCCAGTGAGACCGGCTAGTGTGTCCCTCCGGGAGAATTGCAATGCAACACATTTACCAGTTTATTTCAATGATTGCTTTTCAGGTTGTACCTTCCCACGGCTGAGATGCATATACCACATGGTTTCCCCTGTGTATGTTTTGACCACGCATCTAAAAGCCAAGTTCTTCTAAACATGATCAATTAGTCAGCTTTGACCCCAGGCTCACCTTCCTTCAGCATTTCTGAGAGAATGTGAGGGGGGTGGAGAGGAAATGTACCAGCATGGCTCGAGCCCGGGTTCTGCTCGGTTCTGCCTCCAACCACTGGCCACACTCACCCGGGAGCATCCCTGTGCCTCCATCCTACAAAGAGAAGGTTGTTCCGGGCGTCAACCGGTAGCGTATGTAACGTGCTTAGTACACGTACACCACTTTCAAAATTCACAGTTTCCAATAGATTGCCTGCTGAGCCCCACTGGGCGTCCCAGTTACCACCAGCCTTATCTGAAAGGACAGCTACTGGCCATTTTCTTGAAAAGTGACATTTCTGTGTTGTTTTACCAACAACCTGGTGAGTGTGCATTCACCTCAGTTTTGCATTAACCTTCAGTATAGAACTTATCAGCATAGGATATGTTGGAGATAGTGATTGTAAACAGGCATTCAAATAAAAACACTGTATTTATACTGCATTTATACCTCATTTATACTTTACAAATACACACTTCGCTTATAATAGTCCAGGATCAGAGGCCACTGAAGGTTAAGGTTGATATGTACATTCTGATTCTCGTCTGGACAGAAAAGAATACCAATGTGTGTAGAGTTCATGAAGTCAAACTTTTATTTGGAAAGTTGAATCTCATGTATAATGAAAATAGTTTTAAACCGTACGTATTCACAGGCATAGTACAAACACCACCTACAACACAAACACATTTCAATAAAGTTCAGCTATGAATATCAATCTAAGTAAAAAAAAAAAAGCAATCTGGTAAGCCAGTGTACATACCTTTTATCTCTACTGATGACATCATCACAGAGTGTAAGACACACAGCGAGGTCAGCTTCGCCTCCACATGCCCGCTGCCCCACGGGAGCCCTCGGCGTCTAGGCTACCACAGAGTACACACCAGTCCCTTCGGACCCACTCCACCTTGTGCCAGGAACCCTATCTTAGTGGCATGTAAACAGAGCTAGGGTTTCGACGGGCAGCCGTGTTTTCAATGCTTAGAAAAGCCAAACTACATTTGTCATGATCGGTCTCTCTCTTTAGCGCATCTCCTCCATGAGTATAAAATAGGAAAAAATATTCTGTGAGGCTTCCCGCACAATCCCATTGTGCTTCTACATTTTTACAAACATGGGGAAATCCAAAATAGCAGACACCTTTACACAAGTAGAACAAACCCACCCAATTCACATCGGCTCATGAACATACGTGCAAAGCTCATGAGTCACTTCCGCGTAGCAAAGACCCTGCTTCATTCTCGTCTGACTCGGCGTTTTTTGATGGCGTGTGCGCATCGCGCTGCTCACGGAACAGCGGATCTACTTTCTTTCCTGTAGGTTTGTTTTCCTATAAAAATATATTTATGTGCTCACAGGAAAGCGTTGCGTGGGTGTGCGTGGGGTGACTTTTCGATACGTCATCAGAGTATGGGTTTGCTGATCAAGTTCAAAGGCATCTTAGCTTTTATTATTTTCAAATTTTTCTTCATAAAGAAGAACACCCTGTGACAAAGAGAAGGTAACTGAGATCATCGTTAGCACTTGAGAGTTGAGACCGTTTGAAGCAAAGGGGTCCAGCATGTGCCTATGTTGGGGTTTCTGTACAAAGTCAGTGCTGGGACCAGGAGAGAACGAGGTCTCCTAAGCCTTGGTCATTCCACCAAGAGTCCTCGCGAGAACACACAACCTGTGACATCAAAGGAACATCGACCGTGGGTGCGAGAAAGTCAGTCTCGGATCTGGTCCTTCTGTGCGGAGGTTCCCAGGAGAAGAGGCCAAATGCGCGGAGAAGAGGTCACGGGAGATCGAAAAAGGCCGCCGAGGGCAGTCTCATGTCCCACGTCCCTTGGTTTGGGCCACTCAGAAGGGACCCCCTTGTTCCCCAGCTAAGGGAGCGCTAAGATTTCGGACAAGGAAACATTTGGCCACTGTGTGGGCTTCTAACGGGAGATTATTGAATTCATCATAAATGTGCCCCCGGTGCCTTTTGGAGACCTGATGACAAAGAACAGGAGCTGAAGTCGCCGAGGAATGAAACTCCCGAGTCACGACCTTGGCCTCGTCAGGAGCCGGGGACCAGAGTCCCCCCCGGAGAAGTCAGCACGTGAGGATCCCGCCTCCAGAAAGCGGGTCCTTAGAAACCAGATGCGGACGGAGTTCGGGGCGCTCCCCACGGGTGTGCGGGTCCCCACCCCCACACAGGGCGAGGACCAAGGCTCCCCGCTGGAAACTTGTGCTGGGGGTGGGGTTCGGGGGGGTGCTCCAATCCTGACCCCTACGTCGCTGTTTTAACTAAGACATTCTTTCCTGCCCATGCATTTTGGACGACACACGAGGTTTAAAACGACAGATAGATATAGGCAACAAACACCAAAGTCAAGGGATTCGCTAGAAGGGATGCCCACAGCCACAGCTCCAAAAGGCAGAATCCGGGAACCAATTTGGCTTAAACACAATTAGGGGTTTTGTGGGGAGGGTAAGAGCTGTTTCCGCACACGGAGAGCTGAGCACTGGAGGTCGCTGACGTGCATGTACTGGCCTTCACACTCTTTCTTCACGTTTTCATGGACAATTTTGGGCGGACGGGCAGCCCACATGCCAGGAAATGAATTCCCTCACCTCGCGCTGATGTCGCCAGGAGAACACAGAACACGCCCCCAAACATGGTCAGCCCGTGATGGAGGGTCGTGTGTGAACGGCTTCCCTCGGGGCTGGGGTCGGAGCACACGCCCCCCAACAAAACTTATGTTGAAAAATATGAAGACATTCCCTCCACGTTTACAGGACGTGTTACGGTAAGACCCTGGGCGGAAGCCATGAAGAACAGAATCCGGGGGCTTTGTACAGAGCCGTGTGTGGGAGCCGCACGCCCGGGCGTGGCCTGGGATGGTGGCACGGCGTCTTTCATGTCCTCCCTCTCGCCTCCAACCCCACCTCCTACGGTGTGGATATCAACATGGCACGCACAACGCATTCGCGAGCAGATGCGGCGTACCATCTGGGAAACAGCAGAGGGGGGAGCCGTCGCGTGGGAGTGGGGAGGTCACGGAGCCACGGCCACCACCCTCGGCAGTGCCAGGACTCGCCATCTTTCCAAAGACGGCCTGGGACGCGGCCTCTCCTGCAGCCGAATTTAGTCCAAGAAAAAAACACTAACAGGACGTGTGCCGGTATCATAGCCGATAGGAATGAGCAGTTCCCGCTGAGGCTGAGGCAGTTCGGCTGCTGTTGAAACAGGGTGTCTCCGGGCAAACAGCGCCCAGCAAGTGCTAGCGGACCGTGTACTAAGACTTCTCCTAAACTTAAATAATAAACTCTGACTGCATACAGACAACCAACGGTTTTAATAAGACATTCATTTTCCTCTTTACACTTAAATAACCTGTGTGCTCCCCCATCTACCTTCTAACCTGTAGGGGAGCATTACCCAGACTCCCCCGCGAGAGCACACTCGTGAAACAGAGACCCCGTGGGGCCGCCACGTCTGTGCAAACGGGGCCGGTGGGGACGGAACACACTGACGGACACTTTGGATTCCTGGAGGTGGACCTAAACATGGCTGTTCCGTGTTCTGCATGTTCAGCACCTGTAAAGAAAACGAACCAACAACAAGAGGCCCGCGGTGCTCAGGGCGTTGTTATTTTTCACGGCAGTGCTGTTTGCTCCGTGTGGTCGCAGGCGTGGGATTCTGGCTGGAGCTTCTGGCAGTGCTGGGTCCCAGGTGCACGCTCTGCACCCGCGAGCCGACAGACAGGAGGTCGGTGGGAACCGCTGATGCCCACATGAGGCAGCCATGCTTGCAGGGGGAACATGGCCCGCACACTTGGAGGCCACACAGGCAGGGGGAATGTGGTTCCCACGTGTCTCCCACACGTGGCAGTCACGCTTAGAGGGAGACCATGGCTTCCACACGTGGTGGCCACATGGGCAGGGGGAAGACGGCTCCCACAGGCAGTGGTCATGCTCACAGGGAAAACGTGGCTCCCACGGGAATGGTCACGCTCGCAGGGGGGACGTGGCTCCCACGTGTGGCGCCCACGCGTGGCACTCACGCGCGCAGAGGGAAGGTGGCTGTGGAGCTGCCGTTGCTCTCCACTGAGCCCTTCTCCTTGGACCCCGCGTAGGCACCGATGAAGGACCCATCTTCGCTGAACAGGCCGTGGTCACCGTCCCCATAGGGGACCAGGCTGTCGGCGCTCTCTGTGGCTGGCAGGTCCCGCGTGAGGGACCGAAGGCTTCCCTTCAGGGGCTTCTCGTCACTGTCGCTGGGGGAGAAGAGAGAGCAGGTCAGCAGCCTCGAACCGGAGCTGCTCCCGCAGAGCGAGGGTGGAGCAGAGGTCTGTGCTCAGGGTATCGTCACCATGGGAGACGGATACACAAACCCTAAAGGACACTTTCACAGACACATGTTTCAAAAGTCACCACCCATCTGTGCCATTCTGAGCAACTGAGAAACTATTTTCCTTTTTAAAAAAATATATTTTTATTGATTTCAGAGAAGAAGGGAGAGGGAGAGAGAGATAGAAACATCAATGATGAGAGAGAATCATTGACTGGCTGCCTCCTGCACACCCCACACTGGGGATCGAGCCGGCAACCCGGGCCTGTGCCCTGACTGGGAATTGAATCGTGACCTCCTGGTTCACAGGTCAACGCTCAACCACTGAGCCACGCTGGCCGGGCTAGTTACCATTTTCCACAGCAGCTCTGCTCCCCATCCAGCCGGGAGCTCCCTGGGAAGCCGGGTGCCCCTGCAGACACAGGACAGACGCTGCCTCCTTGGCTGTTCGAACATTGGAACTCAGGATCCCCAAGTCTCCACCTTCTGTCTTACCTTTGATCTAATATGTTCCCCCAAATCCTCCCAAAAATCGCTCTTTTGTTTAGATTACTCAATGAAATTCTATTTCTTGTAACCAAAGAAGTTAATTTAATAGAGTGTGTAAACTCAGGTTTGTTAAATTTTTTTAAATGGCTGGTATTTGTGGAACATTAGCATCCTATACTTATGGTTTGGGTTTCATTCTTAAAAAAAAAAAAAAGCAACTCTGGCCCTGGCCTTGGTTGAGCATCACCCTGTGCACCAAAAAGTTGCCCTTCAATTCCTGGTCAGGACACGTGCCTGGGTTGTGGGTTCCATCCCTGGTCAGGGTGGAAGGAAGGCAACCAGTCAATGTTCCTCTCTCTCTCTCCAAGAATGTCCTTGGATAAGGATTAAAAAATAGTAATACTAATAAAAATATATTTTTAAAAGCAACTCTGAGTTAGTGAAATGTCTATAACGCAATACAGTCTTCTAAATTCCTGATCGGGATTTACTTTAAGTACTAACGACGATCACACCGTAAAAAGTCGTCTACCAACCTAAACAGCTTTATGAAATTGGAAAAGGAAGAACTGGAGAAATGTGGGTAGAATGTGGGAGCACTTGGTAACCCGTGGCCATTGGGGCTGTGGCCAGGGCTCCTGCCCTCACGCTGGCAGCCGGGCCGGGGCACTGCCCTTCCCCACCTCATGGGACGCACTGTCGCCGAGGGAGCAGGAGTGATGTGTCGCATGGAGCCAGCGCTCAGGGCCCACGCTCGGCTCCTGGTCTGTGGGGGCCTCGGGGGCCCCCTCCCGGCCGGCACCTCCGTCACCCACACCCCAGAGCAGTGAGAGCTGGACTCACAACTCGTCAGCTGCCCTGATGATGTGGCCACTGGCTCGGGGCTGGGATTCTGCAGTTACCATGACAGATGCCCTCAGGGCGGCACCTGCTTGGGGCACAGGTGAGTGGCCAGGCTCCACGCCCGGGACACGGTCTCCTGGGAGAAGGTGGGGACAGAGGGGTCTCCCGAGGAGCACCGGTTCGGGGAAGGGGATGAGAACATGGTACCTGCTCCAAGGGTGCAGGGGAGGCGTGCGGGTGACGCCGCTGGGTCTGCCCCTGCGACCTGAGGAGCGCTGCCCCTGGGCCGTGTGGGGCGGACGTCACGCTCACCTGTAGTCCCCAAAGGTCTCATCTTTCCCCGACTGAACGTCCGGGTCCGGGTGCAGGTCCTCCTTGTCTTTCACTGAAGAAAAGAGAGAGAAGCGAACAATGCAAACGTGTTTAAAGGCGCGTCAGCCACGAGGCTGGGCGGCGGGCGACCCGTAACCTCCGCGGAGCTCACACCTCCCGATGCGACCGCGTTGGGTGTGTCTGTGGTTGACTCTCCCACCGCCCGCGACCTCGTAAAGGAAAACAGGGGTTTGCTGGGTTGTCCCTCTTTGTCATTGAGTCCTGGCAGGTTGCCGGGTTCCATGTATTCACTCTACACTCTGTGGCTCCGAGGCTCGGCCGTGGCCTCTGAGGAACCAGTGACCACGCCCACCTGTGCTCTCCTAACCTTCTGGAAGATGTCACAGGCTCACCTCAGGGCCCTGTCACTACGCTACAGTGAACAAAGGTCAGTTATTGACCCGGCCGGCGTGGCTGAGTGTCAACCTATGAACCGGGAGGTCATGGTCAGGGCACATGCCCAGGTTGAGGGCTTGATCCCAGTGTGGGGCATGCAGAAGGCAGCTGATCCATGGTTCTCTCTCATCATTGATGTTTCTATCTCTCCCTCTCTCCCTTCCTCTCTGAAATCAATAAAAATATTTTTTTTTTAAAAAAAAGAGAAGCTGGGAAGTACTGTAAGTCTCCTTAGGGCCCATGTTAAGTGTGTAACCATTGGAGACAACGTTCCCCTTGGTCAGTTAATATAGGAATGGTTTCTCCTCACAGCACACTGTATCTCTAATGTGCTCATGTAAATTTAACCTATATGTGTAATTAGAATAAGAGACATCTCTGAAGAGTGCCCCCTAGAGAGTAATATTTAATCAATTGGAAGTTCTATTAAAAACAAACTTATTTGTTCATTTGTTGCTTTTTAATTTACATTTCACATAGGAGTGAAATCGCATGGGTCTTGTCCTTTTCCATCTGACGTATTCCACTTGGCATGACTCCCAAGACTCACCCATGTTGTCACAAATGGCAGCACCCCACCTTTTTCATGGCTGCATAGTATTCCACTGTGTATAGGTACCATGTCTACGTCAGCCACTCGTCCCTCAAAGGAGGCTCAGGCTGCTTCTATGAGTGTATTGTTGCCCCAATAAACATAAAAGAAAGGAGCCTCCTACCCGAGTACTTCCCGCCTCGGTTCCTCTTCACGAAGCAGACGGTCAGCAGCACGAGGGTGAGGCCGGCGACGGCGCCCATCAGCCCGATGAACCAGCCCTGCGTGGCGATGTCGTCATACAAGCCCGCGTACTCTGCACACAGGAGTCACACACTGAGGGCCCGAGAGCCAGCAGCATCGCACCCCTTTGGGGGAAGTGACCCCTCATTTACAAACACACAAAACAGCATCCGTTTTGTGTCTCCTTCCAGGGACTGGGAGGACACTTCCCGGGGAGAATGCAGACACAGGGTGCATTCTGACTAGGAACGGGCCCCTCTGGCGGGGTCTGAGTGTGAGGACAGAAGGCGGGGGACAGGCAGGCGGGCGAGGGGAGCACGCAGCAGCGGAAGCGCAAGCAGAAGCCGCCTCGGGCACTGCAGGTTGCCATGGTGATTCTGGGGTCCAAGTTCCTCTTGTTTTCCTTTTTAGTTTTTGTTATTCGCGTGTGTTAATAAGCAGGAGCTAGTTTAGGCAACTATTCCAGAAGGAGCAGCCAGGGCGAGGGCTCCGAGGGAAGCTTTCCACTGGGATCGTTTTAAATGCTACGCTGACGCCCTGGCCGGTTGGCTCGGTGGATAGAGCGTCAGCCTGTGGACTGAAGGGTCCCCAGTTTGATTCCGGTCCAGGGCATGTACCTCGGTTGCAGGCTCCTCCCCAGCCCGGGCCCTGGTCAGGGCGCATGCAGGAGGCAACCAATCGATGTGTTTTTCACATCGATCATTCTCTTGGTCTTTCCCTCTCTCTTCCACTCCCTCTAAAAATCAATGGAAAACTATCCTCGGGTGAGGATTTAAAAATACCGAATAAATAAATAAGTAAACAAAAATCTGCTATGCGAAACAAATGGAAACTGCTTTCTTACAGCCAACACCCTGCACACTTTTACGTTTAATGTGGGGAGTGGGGGCACCTAACAATCTACAGGACGCAGATGTGCCGTCCGAGGCCGCCCCAGCAATCCCGCTTCTCACCTCTCCCTCTCGCCTCAATCACATCTTCAAAAATGCTATTGTTCCCAACCCAGTTCTTGGGCAGGAGGCGGACTGCGTGTTCGGCTCCGGGCTCAGGCACCTCGGGGGGGTGAACCTTTTCAGTGGCGTTCACTCCTTCTGGGAGCTTCCCGAGACCTCTGCCTGAGGAACGTACACGGGGAGAGCACAGGAACCGTGAGCGTGGCGAAGCGGGCGGAAAGGTGGAAACAGAGAGATTGTTAATCGAGATGAAAAAGAGAGCCGCTGGTAGCATCGTTTCCCCTGAGACAGATCCTGAATTATCAGGAGGATCAATACAATGGACATGTCCTATGTTCTTTTTAGAACACTGAAATTCGGTAAATGCCATGAGCTGGATGCGCGGCCTATTGGAGTGCGTACAAGCTGATAAATAAATGCTGTACATACTAGTAAGTCTACCTGGTCAGGAAAACGGTTCAAAACCAAACATGGACCTAAAAAACCCTGTACATTGTCATTTTGCGGAATTTGAACTTTACACGCCTAGCAGGAGACGGAGTGTGGCCTTGGAGGCTTATAACTGGAAGCACAGCCATCTTCACTCTATGCTACTTCTTTCTGCCTTGCTCTTCTCCATAAATATTGATGGAGTGGCATCCGAATATGGCCACACATGAAGTGCGGGACATTCGTAGGGACTCAAGCAACAGAAAGTGCAGGTTTCCAGGTACATTTAATCAAAAGGCACTGAGACTGGGACGTGCTCTGAGAAATGGACACTTTCAAAGAAAAACATGAGTATGCCAACAGAGTCATCATAAAAACTCATCGTTGCAGGTAAAAATATGAGCCAAGTGTGATTAAAAGATACACTTAATTTCTGGCCTTGTAACAAACTATCCAAAATACCTATTTTTGCTAAGAATCAACTCAACAGACTAAATGGAAACCGGAAAATGTTAACTTATTCGGAAGTAAAATATATTCCCTATGGCGAGGGGTCAGGAAACGCTGTTTTCAATGGGATGCGATGTGACATGTTGAGCGTTAGCTATAACGCTCCCACAGAGGAGGAACCGATGCAGAGTTTCTGATGACAAAGGGCCTCCCTCGCTACAGATGGCACCTGACCAGGGGCATTAGGGAGCAGAGAGGTTAAGTCTGAGCACCATCGAGACAGAGGCAGTTAGTTGTGACTCTGAGAAACCATTAAGTAGCATAAGCTTTTGAAAAACAGAGAAGCAGGTGTTTTGTTCAAACCATTAAAGGCACACAGAAGCCCATTTCTGACGAATCCATCTTTTCCCTCTGAGATTATGGACCGTGGACATCGGAGTGACAACCAGACAATAATGAGAGAGAAAGCAGACCCCGTGCTCTGAATGTGTGTGCTGTCGAGGCAGAGCAAGAAGAAGGAGATGCAGGAAATGATCCCACTTTGACAAAAGGTATCATTTTGGGAGGGTTTCATGATATCCAGATACAGCTCCTCAGAGGAAATGCACGTGTGTGTTTTCCCAAAGACCGCGCCGGAACCCAGCGGGAGGGGTTCCCGCCATCTCCCTTTCCCGCTTCCCGTCCCCAAATATCCCTCCGGGTCCGATCGCGGGGACCTCACACAGGCCTCCGTCCTCACTCTACTTTCTCATTTCTCTCCCGAGGCCCTGCTGGTGTCAGGGTAAGCTTAGCCAAAACACGGCTCAAATCGTGGTTGGAGAAATAATTTGGGGAGACATGGTTCTGAGTTGGAAAAAGAAAAGTGCAATTAAATTAGAAAAACTGTGC